TCTTAAGCTTACATGAAGGCTGATGTAGTAAAAGAGAATTAGAAGAACGGAGAGAACGTGATAGAGTATAAGGGCTAATGAGATCACAAAATGGGGCTATGGGGCTCTTCGATTTATCGTTCTTGTTCTTGTATGTGTTGTTTTACAGACAGTCAGTTTTAGAAACATCATGAACTATTTAAGTTCCTCGTGTCTCCAGTAGGTGGCAGACTTATGTTAGTGAATCCTCAGGACAGCGGCACAGAGTTCAGCAAACCGCACACTCGCATTCTTTCCGCTTACTGTTCACGAGAGGTTTTGTTCAGGCCAGGCCAGGGGAGTGTCATTACCTTACCCTATAATATCTAATAAAATATTAATTTAAAAAAAAATCTGACTTTAATTAATAAAAGCCTTAATATCAAGGCTATTGGACCTTGATCGTGAATTTGATTCAAATTAATATATCATCGAATTAATATAATTAATATGGTTAATATAATAATAGAAATATATTTAATTAGGCTAATATAAGAGAAAAATGTATTGATCTCCTAAACAATAAACAGGCACATATTTCTGGGTTTTTGACATGGCTGTATCTAGCCTGGGCTGCATCAAAAATGTATCTGTTTTTTTTTCAGTCTGTTGTTTTCACCAAAGTAAAAAAAAAAAAAAACTCTCTCAAATTTCCAGCCCATTCACCATTACCTTCAGGGGAAATACCCGATTACATTAATGTTCCTTGCTTCAGTTCATTATTTAATGGTATTAAAATCTCTTTTTCGCTTTTGACTTTTCTTTCTTCTGTGATTCAACCTTTTAATTACACTGATTTAGAATCTAATTATTTGTTAGGCCTGAAGCCATTACACAATGCATATTCACATTTAATTTAGAGTCAAGAAATCTCACATTTTTCTCAGTTTCTACTGTTATTTGTTTTTAAACTGCTTTTTCAAATCCAGTATGTTCTCTAAATGACATATTGTTACTGTTTTTCTGTGCTAGACTAATTTTCCATCACAATGCACATTGTAATACTAATACCTATTATTAGTGTGTTTTCTGTATAGTTCCAGTATTTGCAGTTATGTGCTTTATTCTCTTTTAATTTAATAGATATGTGTAATTTTACCCCATCTCCACTGGCTTATGTTACTGTGACTAATCTGAAGGTTGTGACCCTCAACATAAGCTTGGCCTGTTTGTTCACATAGCAGTCAAAAACATTGATCTCTGACCTTTAGGATATCCTGTTCTTAAACAAAGTGCTACAATAAAATATTACAAACATTGCAATAATATTAATTATTTTCCTTGCTATAAATACATTTTTCAATATATATAAATAAATACACACTTCAACTATTATTACCACTACCACTACTACTACTACTAATAATAATAATAACAACAACAATATAATTTTCTTTAATGTTGTAAAAAATTTTTTTTACAAAATAATAAAATATATATACAAAACATCTATTTTTACGAAAGATAGACACAATTTGTGTGACAAGAAATGATCATAGAAGCTTGTTCTGAATAAAAATCATGTTGCAAATAAAGGTGGCACATGTCCACCTGCATGGGGCAAAAGACCCTGCAGGGGCTGACTGTATGAGTATCTGTAATATTAGCGATATAATTGTTACGAAAACATTTTTGATATGGCAAAGATAAACAAAACCCTTCTTCCTCACTAATGGAAAACGATTTGTTGCAGTACAGGCATCTTTCAACCAACACGGGTGATGCCATTGTAGGGCTTTTGCCCGTAAAATGGGGCTCTTTACCCTAAATCCTTTATCTGCTTTCATTTGTTCAATAATTAATTGATTTGATCACCTTGGGCAAAACTGAGAATTTCACACAGTGAATTCCTAGACCAGGGAAACTTTTCTGCAGTGTATGTGTTCGGGAAACTGTTGAGTCTGGCATTTTGGAATAAACCACCTACATTGATAAGTTCATTGTGCTTTCCTGATCATTTTGAATGTAACCAGTCAAATTCCCTGAAGCTCTCATTCATTTGGGAACTTTGTTTCTTTGTGACTATTCCAACATTTTGATACTCTGAACTGAAGGCAAATGACATGCAGCACACACACTTTGCAGCTGTTAACCACATAACTGGAAGATTAAATCACTTAAGATTCACATGAAAATGTATGAATAATAGTAATATAATAGACGAATAACTGTTAAAGGTTTGTTTACTCAAATAATAATATACATCAAAAATAACATTAAATTGTTAGTTTTTTTTTTTTTTGGAAACTTGAATGAGCTTTTGCAAGCTTTTCAAAATCCATTCATATTTTCAGTATAGAAGGTGTCTTCATTTTCACATCATTTCAAAATAACCTTTATTGAACCTAACAGAAACATAAAGGCATTCTTAAGCCATCTAATTCAGATTCTTCCTTTGTAAAGTTGTATAAACATTGAAAAAAAGTGTAAGAAAGACATTGGATTTAACATTAGTTATTGTTTAGGCTATTGCATTAGTTAGCTATCGATGAGGTATCTTTCTTAAAAAGTCAGATGTTCACTTTTCATATATTAACCAATCCGCATATGCGTTGGGTGACGGCTCTATCAAGACAAGGCTGTTCCCTATAAAGGAATGTTCTGTGAGATGAAACGCTTGTATTACACAGAAATAAACGTTTGATCAAAAATGTCACATTCTTATGTAACTTAATAATCATTGAAGGTGGTCTGTTTTAAGGGGTGGGATTTGGTGGATTACCACAAGCTCATGTTTCTCTTAGATACTGGATACTGTTCACCTTCCACTTCCTCCATCTCTCCAACTCAAACACACTCTCACATTCACACGCATGAGATTGCATTATTGTTTTTTAATCAAAGTAATTTTAAACATGGCATTTCAATATGTTCTTATATCATTTATCTATATTTGACACTTTTATTTATTTCTCTATGTATTGCCTCTTCGTTTACTTTTTTGCCTCCATATTTGCCTCATATAGCTCTTCAGATCAGCCGTTTTATGATTTATAAATACTCTTTAGTTGCTGACATCTTTCTCTGAAGGACTCAGCTGATTTACTTTAGATGATCTTCCATATAATCACAATGTTCAGCTGTCTATAATTTCCCTTTGAATATACATTATACAATATGTGGAGATCACATGATTTTAATTATTTTGATTATTTTTTGATTGGTTAATCTTCAAACTATAATAGGCTATAATAAATTTCAACCAAATTTTAACATAAAGCCTGTTTCAGACTTTGACAATCAGTGATTGGGATATTTGGAGTAAATTCCTTCCTTTGTATTCTTGTCTCTCTTCTAATGAGTGCTTAATCCAGAAATGTTTTCTTTAATCTGAATAATCCTGGTAAACACCAGTTATTTCTTTATGTTGATGGCTGCCCATTTGGGCTGCGTGGCATTATAATTGGCTTATTCTTTTAACAATATTTTTTCTCATTTCAAATGTCACTAAAACACAATTTACTCTGATAGAGTTATAGACTTTGTAGCCCCAGTTAATAAAGAAAAAACAGTAAACAAAGAAGGCAGCCAGAGGTCAAGAGTGCCATTAACTCAACAGTCAGACTGCATTGACGGGCTAATTCATGTTTCCTGCAGAAGCTGCAAGAATAGAGTGTGTTTGCTGTGTGTGTTGTTTGAAGAAAAAAGAATAAACGATAGAGCATTCATTGGGTGACAGATTCTCTCTCTCAAATGAAACAGTCATGTCTGTTGTCAAAGTTAAAGTTTGTGCTCTTTTTGTGCTCGATATTAATAGGAGAACTGTGAGTTTTCAGTTTTCTTGGTCTGCATGTTTTTAATTTCACAAGAAGACCCCATAGTTCCACATTGAAATAAAAAGCTTAATATAATGGTAATAAGCTAAATAAATCCATCCTTTGTCCTAATTTTCCCTTTTCCTTCATCCAATGGCAATTTGCACCATGCAGTCTGCATTCATATTCAAAGATATGGGCAATTACAGGAGCAAACCAGACTAATCTTGTTCTGTTAGGTTGCATATATATCTTGGACCAATTCTATCAATCTCTGAAGTTGAGAATCAATATTTCTTAAACGTTATCTTAATTTTTTTTTTTTATTAACTTACCTATTATTTGTTTTAATTCAGAAATGGCTTAACGTAGGCTATTTATTTGGGGAACTTAGGAACTTACGTTATTTTTTACAAGGTGACATGTTTGGTAGGATCTTGGTAAAAGTTTCGACCTTAGTTCAGAACTTTCAGACCTGGCAGCTTTTTTAAGGATTCGCTTTATAATTTTACATAATACTGAGGGGGAAAAAAACACTTTGGTTAAGATTGAACGAATCGGGCAATAAGATTTAATACTTTTTATAGCCTAATAAATATGGTAATTAGAACTCAGGACAAAGGCGTGAGTTCCGATATTAAACGGATAACAAATAAAATTACAAATTTCAAATGTCAATATGTTTTATGTAATTATCTAATAATTAATTCATATTAATACTTCATGTTGTGTAGGCCAATAAGCAGCGATGGCATATGAACTTCAGAAAATGCATGGCTCACTTAAAAATGTCGACTCTTTTTTTTTAGCATTTCTAAAAGACTCAAAAGGCACGAAATCATTTCCCTCCTTATCTTATGAGAACAATGACACGTAGGCTTATGTGTTAAATAGGCTATATTTGATTTAATACCAGGCTGCTTCGTAATGTTACATTGTAGCAAATATATATTTCTCAACAATAAAATAATGCACACGTTTATTGATTATTGATTGAAATAATTGGCTCGAAGGCTTTTTAATATTAATATCTCACCAGCTGTTCACTTTTAAGGAGCTTTAAAATTGAATTAGAATGGGTAAAACAACTGTAAGATTAAATGATCAGTCGTCGTTTAGGACTGTTGGTTTCTTGTGTAGAAGGCAAACAACAGCCACCAAAGACAAACCTTCATCACTTTACACGACTCCGCCTTTCCGTCATAGTTAATTAAGTGATCACTAAGTCTCCTCAGTCTCCAGGACTCTTTACAGAACGGCAGAGCTGTCAAAGCACAAGACTCACTGCTACTTGCTGTTGGATGCTGAAGCTTGGTGAGAGAATAACTCGTTGGACGTTACCATTGTAGCTGGCAGTGCGGCAACAATCACGTGCTGCAAGATTATTGGAAAACTGGACAGAAAGTGATAGTGTTCTACTATTTTGATAGCTACCACTTCTCTTAAACACAAGTTTTGTAACCAAAGCTGATTGGCAAAGGCTTGGATGACGACCACCAAAGTTGTCAAAATGTGTGAGGAGAGGCGTGGGATGAACCCCCTGGACCACCTTCCGCCACCTGCGAGTTCCAACAAGCCCTTAACGCCCTTCAGCATCGCAGACATCCTCAGCAAACCTACTGTCAAACGAGCTCACAGGATTCACCGGCTTCCAGCATCAGAGAGAGCCCGGCAGAGCATCACTATATCAAGGCAGACTCTCATCACTCAAACGTCGCCTCTGTGTGCTCTGCAGGAGCTGGCGAGCAAAACGTTCAAAGGTCTCGAATTAGGCGTGCTCCATGCAGCAGAAGGTAAGAAAAGACAGAGTGTAATGTAAGTTTTAGATTGTAAAATAATAATAATAATTCAAAATTAATGTAGCTACAAATAGTAAAAAAAAAAAAAGTGACCAATAAGTTATAACAACACATGTTTTACATTGCTTAGCAATTTTCAACTTTTTTTTTTTTTTTTTACAAGTTATACAAGATTCAACAAATTTTTTTAAAAAGTCAGTTTGATGCCATTTTATTTGAAATGACTTAAACATCTAAAACATTTAAAGGCAGCAACTTTTTTGCAGTAGTGGCATGGAAAACTAAGTCATTTTGATTAATAGTCTATATGTTCATTTGTTCATTGATTCATGTTTAAATTAATTTGAAATCTGTTGTCATATCAACTTATCAGTATAAATGGATATTAAAGTTAAAAATCGTATCAAGTAGGCCTACATTTCTTTATTAGCAATTATTTATTAGCAATATTCTAAAATAGTATGTTCTACTATTATTAATGTAACTTAAAATCTGTCAGTGTTGCATCATAACGTTTTTTTTTCTTCTTCTTCTTCGACAGGAAGGGATGGGTTGACTGTGTTTGGTCAAAGGGACAGTCCTAAAAAGCGCCGAAAATCTAGGACGGCCTTCACCAACCACCAGTTATATGAACTAGAGAAAAGGTTTCTCCATCAGAAATACCTGTCCCCTGCAGACAGAGACCAAATTGCCCATCAGCTGGGGCTGACAAATGCGCAGGTCATAACCTGGTTCCAGAACCGAAGGGCAAAATTAAAGCGAGACCTGGAGGAGATGAAAGCGGACGTGGAGTCGGTCAGATCCACGGGTGTAGTAGTGCCTCTGGATAAACTCGCTAAATTGGCGGATCTGGAGAGGTGTGCAGCTGGAGCCACGGGGCCCGAGTGCTCGCCACGGCTAGGTCAGGAGTACAAGAGAGTGCACAAATTGTGTCTGTCCCCCATGTCGTCTCTCTCGGACCACACAAGTCAAGACTACTCCGAGGACGAAGAAGTGGAAATAGACGTTGATGTCTGATGTAAACCACGATTTAAACTCTAAGACTCATATTTTAAGTTGCTACAGTGCGTAACAACACGCATGCATGAACAGAAATGATTGTAGTGTTTTCTGAAACTTTAATTTATAGCCAGAATGTGTTCTCCTATTTGTTCAATATGTTTGAGCTAGCAGCTGTATAATAAATTGTATAATAAAATGGCTTTAATGAGTGTAATAAGATAATATTTCATAAATCAGGGCAACAAACAGAGCAATACAACTTCCTAATGAGAAAACTATTTTTTACAAGTGTAGGCTATTTATTGCATATTCTTCATTTGTACACAATCGAGAGTGACTGCTTTTTGTAAAGTTTTGTACAGTTTACATGCAAGATAGTGCCTTTCAAAATTAGGGCATTGCACCAATGTGTCGTATAATGTATTGAGTTCGAAAATAAAAAAACATTTATTTATACCTTTTATAATGATGATGTTGTTGCCGAGTCTGTAAATCTGTTGGCGAGTCTGTATTGTCTGTGAATCAATAGCAATCGTCATATTCTTACAAAACATTGATATATATATATATTATATATAGGCATATATAAATACATATAAATCTAGATAAAATAAGATAAGAATATATATATATATATTATTTTCCTTTGCATTAGGCTAATTGTTAATGTAGGATATTCTATTGATTCTTGATAGCAGTAGCCTACAGAAATAAAAGTCTGCATTTTATAGCTTTATACTGCAGTAGTTTATACCTCAATTATATTTTACATATAGCCACGATGCTGTGAATTTTTTAATAAAAAAAAAACTGTGAAATATTTTCAGATGTTAAACATTTGTTGACAGAAAGGGTATTGTGCACGTATTGTGCATTTTTAAGTGCTAACTGCCTTGATTTCTTTCCTCGAGAATAAAAAGGAATAAAAACATTCTTGGCCCTTTAACGCTATTGTTTTTGCTCTCTGCAGAAGAAACAGAGAGCCTTTGGCTTGCTCCTCTCTCTCTTTCACTCTCCAATTGCGTGACTTGGCTTTTGACCCAACAACGTGTGTTTTTCCATTCTGGGCGAAATTTATGTGAGAAACACAAATCTGGGGCGCTGGGGAGAAAAAAAAAGGAGAAGAAAGACACAAAAACACCAAGTTTTGGTCCAGTTTCTCCAGGGCTATATAATCCTTTTTGTTCACGGGTGAAGCTGTAATTTCCAGCGTAAAGCATGAAAGCTGAGGACAAATGAGCCATCCACCCTGATGTGACAAGCGACAATGGCGCATGGCTGGACTCCTGCGGCTCACCATACTGAAACAAGTGTGTCCAGCCACATAAAAAAGACGCGAACGTTTGGAGGCCATATGGTTTCTGAAATTTTCACACAATTTCAGACAATTTGATGGATTGCGTTAACCCCTCTTTTAAACAGTTTAACGCAGCGCGAACAAAGGCCATACATTGGAGTCTCTCCTCGAGAAAGCATCTGTACCCATGAATGTCCGCTCTTTTCTTCTCGCCTCTTTAGCTTGGCGTTTTGAACAAGTCAATGAATTACAATGAAACTCTCTCTCTTTTTTTGTGAGGCACTGACTTTCGTCTCCCTTTTGGTGATTTCAAATGATTTGTTAGACTTGTGTGGGGGGACTTTTTAGTTAAAGAATACGTCCTCATTTTGTTGGAGTTTTTCATGTTAAGGAAGGGACTCGTTAAGCGTTCAAACCAAGACCCTCATGACAGCTTTGCTAAAAGGGGGTCTTTTGTTTATAAAGCTGAATTCGCTTGCCTCCTTACCTTGAGCCTATTTGACTGAGGAGATTAATAACGAGAGAGAAAAAAATCTGGATAATGTGCTAAAGAGCGTGCATGTGAGCTTTAAAAACAAGACACATTGAGTTTGCTGTCAGTAGCAGGTGTGTCTGTATAAAAGGAACAACAGCAGACCAACGACTGCTTTGAACAGTAACTGTAATGTTTAGCCTACCTCTTTACCTTGTTTTGTAAAGAGGAAGATTAAGAGTAAGTCCAAGAGAATGTAGCTGTTATTGTGGTCATATATAAGGTCACAATCTGACCTGCATAGAATCCCTGTAGACAATTTTTGCTACATTTCAAATGCACGTTATATTTAGGCTATTGTGTTTTAAAATAGTTTAGTCTGGAGCAGACCCATGCAGGCTTTATATATCTGAACTAATTAATTATTATTATTATTATTATGAATCGATAGAGGTATAAAACTATATGATGTAGCCTAATCAAAGATCAGAGTGTTAAATCAAGTTAGCCTATTAAGGAAAATCTATTAATCGTCTTATTTTTATTTCATTTCCAATAGGCCGCATATGCATAGGCTATAATGGCGTAGGCCTATAATAAAATGCTAGCAATTAAAACATATAGGGCTATCACATATAGCGAGACTAGTCTTTTTAAGAGAGTTTCCACCAGTTTCACAATACTTACGCCTATACCTTATGCGTTAGAGAAACAAGCGAGCATGCAACCATCTTTAGAATATTGTCTTTGAACTTCCGTTTTTGCGGTCGCTCTGTAGGCCTATATCTCTATGGCATTGCTGTCGAGGAGTAATTAGCTGGTGACGTGGATTTACTTATAGAGTTAACGAAAGTTATCTTGAGCATTGTAATGTTTAAAGCAGATGTCTTAACAAATGTCAGTAGCCTAGACCGGGAAGATTTTAAAACTTTTAAGTTTATTTAAGATAATTTTAAGAATTACTTTGTTTTCCCTTCAAAAAAGTGTTTATTTTAAAGACATTGTTATAGCCTATGTTAAAATAATTGATATTTGTGACAAAAAAACAAATCACTATATATATTGAAGCAAGGTGTATTTTAATAAAAAACACCAAGCCATTTTTTTTATTTTAAAGAAGACCAAAGTTTATTTTTTATTTTGTATAATTTACTTTTATTAAACAATTGTATAAATGATGGACCTGATGAAACTGATAAGAACAGTGGTTTAACTTTATTTTTTTAGAAGAAAACAAAACATTTAGTAACAGGATTGAACACTGTGGAATGTGTGTGTATGTGTGTGTGTGTGTGTGTGTGTGTGTGTGTGTGAGTGTGAGGGTGTGTACATGACTGTGTGTGAAGTACTTCACAGCGAAGGAGAGAAAGAAGGAGAGAGAAGAGAATAGAGAGGAAGAGAGAATGTAAGACAAAAAGGGGGGAAGTCTTGCTCCTTCCCTTGCAGATGGGTGTGTTTCTGGCACCAGGGTTCTCTCCATCTTCTACAAAATATAAGACGAAGACAAAAAGTTAAAGTCACTTCGTGGTGGACTGGCTCCCTCGAAGTAGGCTATGGTATTCACATTGTAAAACTAATAATGTCTACAATTTAAGTAATTAACTACAACTGAAAAAATCAGGTGAATATTATTATATCAACTAATATTAAATCAACAAAACAGAGGACTCACCCCTGTTACTGTAACTCACTCCTGGTATTTTTCATATGAGTAAAAGGACTGAAAGTAACAGGATTGAGTTTTTAAGCAAAAAGTTCAAATACAGGACATATGGCCACATAGCATGCTAATGGCACAAGGACACTGAGCAAATTCCAGTGACTTACTTAAAGTTAATATTTTTTAAGTTAAGATTGACCTTCTCAGTCATAGTTAGAATTTCATCAAATATACAGAAATTAAAACGAGAAGACTTACTTTGGTTTTCTCAAGGGGCCTGCATAAGATCCAGATTATGCAACTTCCAGATGAAAATGTGTCTTGTTCCAAGATTTTTAGAGGGGGCGATTTGTAAGGGTTATAGGACTGAGTGAAAACAAAAATGTGTATTTTATATATAACACATTATGGATTTCTTATGAAAAAAAACCCCACAACAATTGTTGAGTCACACAATACAAAACAATAAACAAATAAAAAATACGATTTCTGATATATTTTAATGATTCATGATAAAGATCAGGTTTAGATAGAGGGGACATGTAACAAATTCTATTTTTCTAGTATTCTCAGTAGTTTTTATTAATGTTTTAAATTATATATTTAACATTTGCAGTAAAATTAATGTTCAGGACACTTTTCTTAATAATAAAATGTATTTTAGATATAATTATTTTCATGCATATTTACAAATACAATTTCCTGGTGACAGAAATCTTACCCATTCGGTGGAATGGCTCATCTATTTTCCTTCGCCATTTGGTAGAATGTAATGCAGAACGTATCGGCCAATTTCACTACTTCTCGCTTAAGTTCTGTTATTCTGCTGCCCTCTTGTGGAGAACATCATGGTATTGCAGTCTTGTGTGCTTGCTTGATTTTTTGCAGTTACAACTGGATATGTTAAGATCTTGTTTGCGCATTTACCTCAAATCCGCAGAAATCTTTTTGTATTTGTAAAAATAATTTTGTGTCGTTTAAAAAAAAAAACCTATATATTTCTTTATGACTCGTTGGCTATATACTTCTCGAATAGGTCCACGTTTTACATTCATAGCAAATATTCCGTTCAGTTCTATGCAATATACAGACAAATGGGTGTGATTAAACCTATGTATTAATGAAAATGAAATATACAACATTTTCAGTATTTGCGCATAAGCAGCGCAGTAGCAAAATCCTTGAACGTCCACGGCGTATGACGCCAGCGTTACGTCATGACGTTGTTGCTGGCGGAATTTTTGTTTTGGGAGTTTTGTTTAGTGCCAAACTTGGGTCTGTTGAAGTCGCTTAAAAGAAACACGATATATGGTGAGTACCAGCATGACTGCGCAATTTGGATTTACCACATGATATCGCCACAAAATATACGAAAGATTTCACTTTACAGAACTGTTTCGCCTAGTTAAAGTTATTTGAAATCGTTAGCTGCACGGCTAACGGTCGCGTTTGGATTATAAACATGTTTGAATGTATCCGGCTGGAGTTTTGCGTATGATCTGCGTTTCTCTTTTCTGCTCTTATGTTTGGTGCTTCTTGCTTGTTTGACTTTTATCACATCTGTAGAGCCCAGCACCATCAAAGCAAACCGAAATGGAGCAGTCCTCTCCGTCTTCAGATGACGCAGGATGTATGGCTGCAAAAGCAGTGTTGTTAGAGGACTGTGAGCAGCAGTTTGGACTGCTACAGAAGGTAACTTAAGTTCATTTGCTATGGGATTGTTTTTTCTTAGATCGGTGGTCAGTTAAGGTGAAGTAACGTTATACCAATTCTTTGTTATAAAAAAATATACAACTCTTTTATGAAACACAGCTTTTTTTACAGCCTATATTATCAGGCGCACATACCTGGGTGGAGTACATTTTTGTATCATTGAATGTAGAAAAAACAAGTTACATGTTTGTCAGATTTTTTGCACCCTTTTATTTAGCCTTTTGTTAATTATGTAGACAGCAGCTGCAGAAATTCAGCTGGGATGCAACTGTCTAGTTAACACAAGCACTTATATCTTTCAGCTTCAAAATGAGATCATTTTGGCTGACACAGAGGCGGATGATGAGGTTTGTCTTTCTCCTTTTGGTACTTTTTATTTTAGAAATCAGTTGTGTGCATATAAATGTTACTTTTCAGTAGGCCATTCTACATAATTGTTTCAAAGTCAGAGTTTGAAATGTCTTGCAAAAAATGTGTCTTTCCCCACAAATATTACAGCAAATTGTATAATATCCAAGGTACACATTTCTAGTAATTATGCAGTTAATTCTCATATTTTATTTTCAGAAAGTTTGGGAATATTTTTCCTCTCCCCAAATTCGAAACTACCGAAACACCACAATAATTAATTTAATAATTAGGCAATAAGGTTCGAGAGCTGTGACTTATTCACGATACAGCAGTAGCCTCGAGTACCTTATTGCTTTTATAAAACGTTTACCACACAAAAAAAATATTAAAGGGGTCATATAATGGTACATGCACTTTTACAAGTTGATTGTACTGAAATGTGTGTTGGCAGTGCCTGTACACAACCATCATATAATGATAAAAATCCATCCAGTGTTTTTGTTTTAATCTCCTTATATGTTTTCCCCTGCCTCAAATCGAGCCGTTCGACCATGTGACGTCACACGGTCGGACGCCCCTCCCACGATTGTTGATTGACAGCAGCGTTTCGACAAAGACACGCCCTGAGCGAGCTGTCATCATAGTCCCCCATTGTTGATACACTGGAGCAGAATGGCGTCTAAGCGATTGTGGTGTTCTGTTCTTGGGTGTAATAACGAACACAGCAGTCATTTTAATGTTCCTAAATTGGAACCGCTGAAGACACAGTGGCTGAGTTTTGTTTTCGAAGGGAATATTCCCCACGAGCAACGTCAATGCGTTCATGTTTGCGCGAGTCATTTATCGTAGACTTCTTTATAAACGAGGGTCAGTATAAAGCTGGTTTTGCTAAGAAGCTGCTCCTGAAAAAAGAATCGGTACCAGCTATTTATGTTCCCTCTGCACCTCCAGAAGAAGTAACTTAAGTGTAAAGTTTTATTAACCTTTATATTAATCTTTGCAAATCGCGGAAAAAAGTTTTTCATGACCATTAGTTGTAACTTCAATCTGTCAATGAACTAACGTATACATCAGTAAACGCATAGCGTTCGTATCTCACTACTCTACCCTGCCAGTACATACAAAGATAGATGAGATCAAAGTGACATTACGTTAACCAACCATTCAGAAACGTCCTGTTCGAGCCTTAATTGTTGAACTTCTTTGCGGCCGTCATCTTGTTCCGGGTCCGACTCCGGTTCAAACTGATACGATTGCACAGATGTGTCCTCAGAGACTACCGCTGCCATTCTTTCTCCAAAATATACCCTCAACTGTTGTTGTCAAGGCAACACTCCAAGTGCGTTGTGTTAAAAACGCCTGCAGAACAGAGGGGCGGAGTGAGCGACGCTCATTATCATTTAAAGGCATATGCACTGAAACTGAGTGCTGAAAACAGAGCTGTTTTTGACCAGGTAAAATAGTGTTTTCTTAAAATACTAATGAGAATTTTTAATGAAAGTATATTACTAAGTTTTCATTTAGACCCTAAACATTCATATTAACTTGTACAAAAATGGCATTATATGACCCCTTTAAAGTAAAAAAAAAAAATTATTAGTGCAACTTTCATGAAGTAAAATCACTAAAAGCCTCCCTTCCGCTAGAAAAAATAGTCTCTGACTGTGAACAGCAACAACGTTCCAATGTGTAATATCAGAGACTATTTATATAGAGACATGCCACTTCCCCAATCCTTAATACAACTATATAGGGAAAACCCGTAACGCCAAAGATGGCGGTTGTATGCACATGCCCCGCCCCTCCCGCTGGAAAGCCAATCGTCTGCTTTTAACAGTCAAGCCGGAAAACATTTAAGCCTATCGTCTGGTTCCACCGACGCATGCGCACAGTTGAGGTTTGCGACAGCGGAAAATGTTACTGTTTGAAAAGGCGGCAGATTTGATGTGTTAGTTGTGTAAATATCAGACATCCCAAGTCTCCCGGAAGTTCCGGGAGTCTCCCGCAGATTGATAGCGGCTCCCTGATGACCGCAAATTAGTTCAAATCTCCCGGAATCTAGAGCGAGCGAGCAGTAGCGCGCGCACGACAGAGAGGGAGAGAACCCTTGCGCATGCGTAGTAAAAGTATAACCTGTGGGGAAAAAGGCGTTTTAAACCTTATTTTGGGGCAAAGTCATCACACTTTTTCAGCGATTTTTATCATATTTTATTAGTGTTTGTATACATGCAGTTTTTATGTCCCGGTGACCAGTGAAAGTGCAGTTCTGGGTCTCTGCCCATTCATTTAGATAGGAGCCTGGTCTTGTTAGTCCGAAATAGCTGCCCGGAGGCGTTGCCAAGATGGCGGCCGAGTGGCATGACTTGCCTAAAAGGACTTTGGTAATATGGATGAAAGCTCAAATAAAAACAACATAGGAACCGTTCTCAAACTTTGTTTCATTTTTTTTTTTACAACACAGAATGTAATATTTCCTCACACAAATATAGCTTATCTCTCAGCATGAGACAATTAACGTTCTACGTTCATTTTCCGTTTATTCCGTTAATTTCTCTCTGCACTTATAAATTAACCTTACTAAATATTTACATAAATAAAAACACAAGGGCACATATTTTGATAGGTAGCCTATTTTATCCATTTTATTAATGTTATTAATTTAGATGCTAGAATGCTGCCTAACAAAAGATACATTTTTTTTCATTGTTGTTTATTTAAATTTATTTAAACATCTCCATTTATTGTGCATGCATTAAATATTTGTCTCATTTCAATCGGCTCCACTGTGCTGGTATTCGATGCGCTTGTCTTTAGTTGGGGCTCAGCAGTGTTTCCTTAGATACGGGTGGTTGCTAAGGGTGTTGCGCAGTGATAAATAGAACCGATGGGTGAAGCGGTCATAGCCGTGTTTTATCATGAATAAAGCACTGCTATTGACCAATCAGAATCAAGGATTGGAACTTACTGTTTTATAAGAAGGCTTATATTGACCTATTAAGATTTTGTTTACATCTACCTTGTAAATATATTTTTTGCTATTTTATAAAAAAAAGTTTTAACTGGTAAATCAATAACAATTACAATTTTAACATTATTTAAGTGTAATTTATGAGATGTGTTGTATTTTGAATCCAATCTTTCTTTGTAAAAGGCATAAAGTTTATCATACGGATTTCAAAGTTAAATTTGGATATACATTGGACATATGCATACATGATATAGGCTACATACATTAGTTTGGATATACATTGAACCAAACACTATAATATCATCTTAGTTGATAATTCATATAGTAAAAGGTTGTCATATAAAAATGAAATCTATGATGTCTGGGTATAGGCCTACTTTATTTTTGACAAAACATCTCATGTTTCGGTCGTGACTGCACATTTTCGGTAGGGACTAATGTTTTGGTATTGACCAACTCGCATTACAGAATTTTAACTCTCATACTAAAACACTACTAAAATACTAATGATTTGCATAACTACAAAAATGTTGTTTATTTCCCCCAAATAAAGGATAATGTGTTCCCTTTTGTCACTACCAAAACAATGATGACGTGTCGGTCGTGACTGTTTCACTAGTGCCACTTTTAGATACTTTTGGGGCTAGATCAAACTAAGATACTCATCAGCACATGGTTAACTAGCACACTTCTGAAAAGTTCAGTTGTACACGCATAACACATTAACTCAAAATGATGGGTCCTATCTACTATGAGAGAGAGGGACAGGAATTTTTCCTGATCAAAAAATGTAGGGGTGTGGTTAAAATCGGCCTCAGACAATGGACTAAAACATACACTGTTTCGATAATGACATGAATTTGCGGGAAACATTTTTTACATAGTTTCATTATTTAATAAAGAATGTAAAAAATATATATTTTAAAACTTTTTGGTTTTAAAAAAAAAAAGGTTTATTTTTTAAAACAACAAAGGAAAAAATTGCTAAAATTATTTAAATATTTTTTTCACAAGTTAAAATTTAGGGGATTTACATAGGGTTCGGGACAGCCACCTCCCAATTGAAAGTACCCAATAAATTATGATTTTATTAAGTTTACTGATATTTTAAATATCATTGTGGGATTCAATAGATAATAGAAGGATCTTTGAATACGTAAATGCTTTTTAAATGTGATTTTTGGTTGTGGTTGCCAAAATATAGTTTTAACTTTTTTTTTTTGTGGGCAGGCAGTGAATCGCCTGATTGCAATCACATCTGAGCTTGAGCAGTGGCAGGAAATGGAACCAAAATGTAAGCTGTTACCTATTGTTTTATGTACTGTTTCAAAATTATATATAATATAGGCTAATAAATGCAATATTCAAAACTCTGGTTACCACACTTTTAATTGCACAGTTTATGTGAAGACATTATTATTATTATTATTTTCTAGTGCTGACAACAAATCCTGAAGTCTTAGTAGCTGTTGGAAAAGAAGAGGTACGTAACGTATTACTTTAATAACACTTAATAGGCAGTGAGTGTACCAAAATATAAATGCAGTTACAACTTTCTTTTTACACTATTTCTCCTCACAGTTGCAAAGACTCAACTGTCAGCTTAAAATGGTCCTGTCATACTCACAAGCAAAGTTGGATGCCCAGAAAAAGATTTTGAAAAGGTGCGACACAGTTTTTGTTAAAGAGCCCCTATTATGCTTTTTAATGTTACCTTTCATGCAGTGTTGCATTACCTATTTCTGAAAAACGAGTTGTCAGTAATTCCAGTCTTATTTCATGCACAAATGCCAGCCTATGGTCGTCTTTGGCTGCCTGCGAATGTCTACTTTGATCCGCCCTTAAAGGGATACTCTACCGTTTTTTCATATTAAACTATGTTATTCCCTTAACTAAGACGAGTTGATACATACCTCTCTCGTCTCAGTGTGTGCACTAAATCGCTCTGTCTTGCGGCGAAACTTTGTTAGCACTTAGCTTAGCCCAGTTCATTCATTAGGATCCAAGCAGAGAAGCGACCAAACACCTCCACGTTTTCCCTATTTAAAAACAGTTATACGAGTAGTGTAACTCGACCAAGTATGGTGACACAAAATAAAACGTTGCGCTTTTCTAAGCGTGTAAAGTGGATAACTATAATGTATGGCGGAATACCATAGCAAGTGCTTGGGAGCACTTCGACTCGGCGCATTTATATGGAGGTTCGGAGTCGAGGACGCATTCTGATCGGATCTCAGTGTAATGTAAACGCAATCCAGCCATCATGTCTGCATTCACAGGTGGACGTCATATAAATCCCAGCCTAGTCTCCCCACGTGGCTGTCAGAAAATAATGGCCAGATGCAGTTTAGACAAGAAATTACACTTATTTGAACCTTACAATAAACGTCAATCTTTAAAACAGTTTATTTAGACTTACATGATACTATTGTGTTCATTTTAATTGGGCAACATTATCTGAACGAGGCGATCGCCTGTATAATCACAGTCAGTCATGAGATCTTAATGAAGTGCTGCACGCTGCTTTGCCAGAGGAATAATCGGAATTGGATTTTTTTAATGTTTTCAAATGTTGCATGTTTTTATTGTTTCAGCATGTTTATCAATCTCCCATTTCTGTCAATATAGTCATTGCACGCTATAACCTTAAACCCACATGATCGATGATGTGACTTGTTTAACATGATCAACCCAGTTATTTTTGTATGATCAACTCTGGAAGTATTCCTTTGTTCAAAAAACTTAATTTGATCTAAGACTGGAGATTGCATAGGAAAGTGAGTGAGTGAAAGCAATTGGGACATTGTTTAATTTGTATCATCTTTACTCTTAATCTGGCGTCGTGCCTCAGACCTAATTTAATTATGCAGGAAACAGAAATCCGATCGGTTATCCAGATACATTACAGAGGCTACTTAATGTGAACATATGCAAACGTGCCATGTCCTGATTGGCTAATGATCCGATCTGCTTGATCGGGTCACGGTGATCGCATGTTAAATGCTAAGTGTAAACGCAGCCTATGACGCCAACCAGCAGTTAGCATCAAACTGGTTCCCTCGACAAAAACCCAAAAGGATTTTTACATAGGCTTTTGGATTATCGCAAAGAAACAAGCTTTGTGATCAACAAAGGTTTATGATACTTGCATGTTTTGTCCATCAAGATCATTTTCACAGATGAACACAACTTTTATGAATTTTGAAGCCTAAATGCAGTTGCCAGAAGTAAAAAGCTAAAGGTAGGCTATAAACGAACTACACCACAGTCGATCGATCAAGCTTCGGACACAACTCTTTCGGTTTTTATCTAAAACCATTTTCCCAGAACATTTGAGTTAGAATAGTTTATAAGAGGCTGTAAAAGCGGACTGGGCTAACCAGTTCGGCGTGATGTTTAATCTCCCCGACAGCCTCTAGTCTCATTTAGCCACTTGTTAGCAAAAAAATCACGTTTTGGAGTAATACTGATGCATTTTATCTCAGAATAAAAGTGAAAGTGTCTTGAGCTTGTTCACCTCAGACCTTATTTCAGCCATTAAACCAAAATCCCATTAAAAAAAACCATTGACTTGGGGAGTTTTAGTACCACGTTTTTTTATTATTGTTTTAGTTAACAGTAATAACTTTGTTCAAGATTACTATGCTTAAATTAACTTAAAAAGGACTGAAAAATACATTCATGAATAATATATACAACATGTATAAACTCTGTTTAAAAATGTTTTTCAGGGAGCAGACATGGCAAGCTGAGAAGAAAGAAGCATTGAATGCAGTGTCTGAGAAAATCACCAGATTACGACATGAAAATGAGAAATCAGAGCACAGGTTCTTAGTATAATGCTGGGATTAAAAATCACATTTTTACATCTGCTTACAGGGATATTTACCCAAGAATAAAAATAAACTCACCCTCATGCCATTCCAAACCTTTGAGTTTGTATTTTATCTGTAAAAACAAAAGGGTAATTCTTTTTAGCCATGTTCATTCATTTGGTTAAAATTGCATGTGAGAACTAATAGTACTTGTTTATAGAAGATTATATATCTATACACACACTCTTTGTGTTTTTACAATTAATGATAATGTGTTTTACATTAATAATCCAATCCTATTTTTTGCAGTATTTTGCAGGATATGAAGAGAAAAATTAACAATCTAAAGGACTATCATAGCAGTCTGATGGAAATGCTGAGCGACATGTTAGCTGAGCACTTCCCACTTCCTGATCCCCTAGGAAACGGCACAAAGAAAAAAAGAGTAGGTGGCATCTTTACACTCTCAATCAGATCAGAGAATATTGGATTTGTATTTTTTGGCTTTTGCATATAAATATAAATATTGGATTTGGATTTTTCAGGCTGCTGCATATGATGCAGAGATTAACCTGATTTCACTGAGCGAGATTATCGAGGTATGTTCGGATACCCATCACAATAAAACATTTATTTTTATATCTTCACATTATGTTTGTAATCTTTTAAGAATAGAATTTGGAAATGAACACAGCATGTTTAAAGATACAGTAAGTGATTTCTGAGAAACACTGTTGATATTTGAAATCAACCCAAACAAACACACCCCTCCCTTCATTGCTTTGCCCCCAAATGCAAGAGTGGATGTCTCTTTATCATAGCTGGAGTAAAGTAAAATTATGCTTCATGAAAAATAAAGTGAAGGTGACAAACGAAAGACAAGGAAGAACAAAAAATCAACATACAGTACACTAGAGTACAAGTAGGAGTTGGTTGTTAGTCGCCAGCAGCATAGCAGCTCCAGACAAAATATGAAAAAACTATCCTGTTACTATAGCTAACGTTACAACAACATATCTTGGTTCTGTGAAACATAGCAAAACCAATGTTACTCGCATATGGAGCAGAAACAACAACCTCTGCGTCTGTTTTTAGGCCTTCCCAGCCGCTTAGGTCTCTCCAGTGCTGGAAAGCTTTTCTAATATTAACGCGGGTCCTAAAGCTCTTGCCTGATCATAACCCTTCTTTTCCCAGTGATATTCCTCTGACCTTTTTCTCTTTTGAGTCTCTCAGCTATCTCTCTTTCAACAGTCTTTCTTCAAATCTCCCTCTTGCTCACTCCCTCTCTCTCTTCCCTCATCTTGAGTGTAAACGCCCCCTACTTCTGATTGGCTACACGTTTGATGTGCTGCTCGGTCCGATTCACTTTCAACAGTGTTTTTTAGGAATCGCTTTAATACTGCACCTTTAATTTACTAACCCTCTTTTATTAACACATTTAATCATACACATTTATTTATTACAGAGATTGACCAATAAAACATTAGAAACTCCACATGACCCTTATGTGACTACTGATGACACTTTCTGGCCCCCGTACACAGAGATGCTTCTTCGCAATGCCATTGCAATACGACATCCAGAAGATTGCAATAAAATCCGTCTGGAAATGTTTTTTTAAATCTTTAGTGCACTAAACTGAATCTAATTTAAAAATTAGATTTGTTTGTATGTCTGTAGTAAACTGTAAATGTCCATTTTTACTTAAAAAAAAATCTGCAAAATATTTGCCATTATGGTATCACATTGCAATTGATTTGTTTTGGAAGTACATGTCAAGTCCAACACTTAGAATACATGTTTCTCTTCTATAGTTGTGTTGGTGTTTTGTTTTACTTTGTATATATTTGTCAAACTGTCAAAAATGATTACTTAATTAAAACCACCTTAAACATTCCCTTTGACTTTTAGTTGTCTCCAGTGCTGCTTCAAGATGTCAGTTTGGGAAATTCTCATAGTTTGTAAACAAAAAAAAAACTTTTTGGGTCACTGACAAATCTCTACATGTTTTTTTGTTTGTTTGTTTTTTAATTGTGTGAAATTAGAAATTGGCTTTCAAAAACACACCTCTTCTATTAAAAAGGTTTCAGTAAATGTTGTTCTATCATCATGTATTATTAAATGTGTAATATTGAAATGAATAAGTAATAAGTTCCTATTTTGTTTTAAAAGTTCTCAATTTGTTATTGCAGTGTTTAGTTTGTTTATTGGACTATTTCATTGTTGTGTGCGCTACCCATATGCTGTTGTCTTTATGTGGGTAATACTGTTCTCTGTATCTGTTAATATAGTGACCACCGTTTCTGGAGAGGCTGTATTTTAAGTCATTGTGTGGTCTTAGCTTACACCGTCTGTGTTAATATCAGTTCATTTCACAGTAATATACAGATTTAAAAAATTCAGGCTGTTATATGCTTTAATGACAGAAACTGAACTACAGTCACCAAAACACCATCCTATAATGCTTGTAACATTGTTATTGTATTTGTACAGTAATGTCCTGGTAACAGCTGGCACAGCTGCTGGTTTTGTAAAAATAAAATGAACAATCAAAAATATAGTTTACAGTTAGAAATATTAAATGGAGCCAAAAATAGGCTTTGTGACAACTAGCCCCAGGGCATTTTCCTGTGTAATGCCATGTCCTTCCAACAGAGGGCGCAAGGGCGCTACTTTTTCCACTGTCGGTCTGTTGCCCTTTATCTGTTGACCATTCTTAAAGGGATACTCCACTTTTTTTGGAAATAGGCTCATTTTACAACTCCCCCAGAGTTAAACTGTTGAGTTTTACCGTTTTTGAATCCATTCAGCCGATCTCCGGTTCTGGCGGTACCACTTTTAGCATAGCTTAGCATACATCATTGAAGTGGACAAGACCATTAGCATTTCTAAAAAAAAAAAAATGACCAAAGAGTTTCGATATTTTTCCTATTTAAAACTTGACTCTTCTGTAGTTACATCGTGCACTAAGACCGACGGAAAATGTAAAGTTGCGATTTTCTAGGCTGATATGGCTAGGAACTATACTCTCATTCCTGCGTAATAATCAAGAAACTTCACTGCCGTACCATGAGTGCAGCAGGCGTAATGATATGACGCAGCGCCTGAAAATAGGCCACCTTCCGTCAACACAACGGAACTATTTTCAGGCGCTGCGTCATATCATTACGCCTGCTGCACTCATGGTACGGCAGTGAAGTTTCTTGATTATTACGCAGGAATGAGAGTATAGTTCCTAGCCACATCAGCCTAGAAAATCGCAACTTTACATTTTCCGTCGGTCTTAGTGCACGATGTAACTACAGAAGAGTCAAGTTTTAAATAGGAAAAATATCGAAACTCTTTGGTCATTTTTTTTTTTTAGAAATGCTAATGGTCTTGTCCACTTCAATGATGTATGCTAAGCTATGCTAAAAGTGGTACCGCCAGAACCGGAGATCGGCTGAATGGATTCAAAAACGGTAAAACTCAACAGTTTAACTCTGGGGGAGTTGTAAAATGAGCCTATTTCCCAAAAAAGTGGAGTATCCCTTTAAAGGGATACTCCACTTTTTTTGGAAATAGGCTCATTTTACAATAGCGTTCATGTACAATAGCAATTGAGTTGTGAGACAGGTTTGGTGGTTGAAGGGTTGGTTAAGGGGTCAACAGGGTTTAATTTGATTACTATAAGGGAACACATGGTTCAAACTGTTTATATGACAAAATGGACTGTGGACTGAATTAGCGGAACAAGTTTGTCCATTGCATCGTGTGTCGCTGTCCAGGGTTCTGAAAAAAACTTGCCTGTTGCACTTACATGTAATCATCAACATTCGTCGAATTAATTAATTAATCATATAAATTGGATTATTGTTGTATTTTTCTCTGTGCATTGTTCTCTTTGGTTTCATCTCTGCCATGCATTAAAAGAAAAAAAAAAAAAAAACTTTTTTACAGCTAAACAGGCCATATAGCCTATATGGTAGTTTTCTTTTAAGATGTCTGTTTGATTTATGTTATGTGCACATTATACTTTTGCGGATAATTTCATTTCAGACATCCCTCAGTCAGACAAAACTGTCGAATTGATTGTATTTAAGTGGTCCGCGGGAGCGATTCTAAAAATAGCCTGCATGGCGAGAGTGTGCACCTATTACCGTACTACTGCCAGATAGGCTACTCCTAAAAATACAGAGATGCGAACGTACTTGTGAAGGTGCGTGGTCGAGCAAAAACACGACACACCGATATGAAAAAAGAAACGGGAATATAACTTTCATACAAATGCTTTTTTGCCAATTTTAAGCGTTGAAGATGGTCCAGCCTACGCGGCCGCGGATCTGCATTTCCATTGACTTTTCTCTCTGACAGCGATGAGAGAGAGAGAGAGAGAGAGAGAGAGAGAGAGAGAGAGAGAGAGAGAGAGAGAGAGAGAGAGAGAGAGAGAGAGAGAGAGAGAGAGAGAGAGAGAGATCAGTGGGCAAGAGACGGACTCCGCCTTTGCCATCGCCCAATACCGAGCCCCCGGTTCAGTGAAGGGGGAAATCACAGATCTGCTAGCTAATGCCGGAGTCCCTCTGTTTGCGTCGTCTCCAGGCGTAGAGATGATGGGCTTCCCGTAACTGGAGGTGGAGGAGAGTGGCGGGGGTGGGGGTAGCGAGAAAAGAGGAGGGGTGGGTTTAAAAAAAAAGCACGAAGAGAAACAAAAGCACAGTTGTGGGTGCCTGAAACCATGCAAGATTTGCACTGTTCTCAAAGAACGCTGCTCTATCCGTGGACCATGTCGTGAGGTGTGGCTCCAGCGCTCGGGATACTGCCAATAGATAGCCTACGCCTGGGAGCAGGGCAAAAGATGTCCGCCTCGGTAGGGCCCACAAGCGGCCCTCGCCCACCCACCGTGCCGGCTCCCATGCCTGATATGCCGGACTTGAGTCACCTCACTGAGGAGGAAAGGGAAGTCATCATGGCAGTGATGGTTCGGCAAAGGGAAGAAGAGGAGAAGGAACAAGCCATGCTAAAGTAAGTGCTGGACGATTTCCTTTGTGTATCCATCCATCCACAGACGTTTTCGACACTTTCGGTGTTCATGTGAGGCTTAGCTTCATGACCTTTCACTACCCGTCACGTCACCCCCGTAAACGTGTGATTGTGATTCCCTAAAGTCGTATAGTGATTTCGCAGCTTACGAACCCATTAGGTCTAAGTTTCCTGGATAAAAGCGTCTGGTTGCAATGGCCTCTGTATATAGAAAGCGGGAGTTAATGCAACAGATGAACTTGGGATAGATTGGTTTTAACAGTCGTTGCAGTGTGTGAGTAGAAATGAGCTAGATTTGAGGTCAGGCGAGTTACAGGTGCACCATGGAGAGCATTCGGGGAGATGGGGCGTGACAGAGAGCGAGGATGAATCATACTTCGCAACTGCGAGCCACCCCACTCCACCCGATGCACCTCCGGGGGCAACACAAGGTGCTCTTCACCCTCAAGCAGTCGCCCAAACACTATTTTATATGGTAGGCTATAACACACAGCGAATGTTATCTAGGAGAAAGGCTATTGAATGAGGCTTGCGCGCTGGTCTGTGAAGAAAGAAAGAAAGCACGTCTAATGTGATAGCCTACACGTTAAACGGCAGGAAGCTAAAACGTCTGTTTTGTGTCTATTGACAATATATTCAAAGATATCCACTATCTGAACTAGAAATACAGCCTTTCGCAGCTTTACAACCGGGGTGTGGTTCGTGATTGGCTCGCGATTATTTCGCCTGGCTCTGTCGATGCTTGTGAGGACGACTTTATTACAAACTAAAAATGTAAATTTTTAAGATATAGATTAATGGAAGTGGCGACTGTAGCGATTATCGTGTGTTTCGAGACCTAAAATACAATTTCTTCTCACGTGACAATCATCTCCCTCTCCTCGGCATGAATGATTTGGAGAAGAAAGCTGACGTAGAGCCTTAGTTATGGCTCTGACTGACAGAGTTGCGTTTCGCGTATTCCCTTAGTTAGGCTACTCTTCAGACGGAAATGACGTGATAGAAAATTGAAGCGAGGTTATGTAATTTTTCCTATGACGACTAATCTGCAACGGAAATGGTAATCTATAGCTTTGACCATGCGATGATTGAGTCATAGGCGCCACTACATCACGACTCTCCAGCCACATCTGGAAATGTGTGGCAGTTGTGGTGTTTCTGTGACTGTGAAGGGAATGTGCTGAGAGGAGAAGAAGCATATTTCAAAATCACCGTTTGTCTCATTATCTGTTTACAACTGCACAACAATGACCTCGTCACTCTCTGTAAGGTTCACGGTGTAGTAAAGGCAGACAGATGTAGAAAATATGGAGAGGCGTACAGATTTACCATAATCTTAATCTTACATGCTTAATGAATCATGTGTGCTTTTTGAAAATGGTTTTCCCTACACTTTTAAGTATTTTTCCATGATATAAGCAACTGCTCTATCAACAACCTACTATAGTCTGTGAAAATCAGATTAAAAATATATTAAATATAAATAGAAGTATGTTAAATGGAAAGTACACTAAGGTGTTTTATGAAACAATTTCCCTACCTTAGGCCTAAATATTAAGGAGAAATATAAACAAATATCAAATAGTCTGTTCTCATATAGGTGATAAGTCACCCTTAGAGGCTATATTTTATGACATATTATGCATAGAATTCACTCTGCATTCGAATATGCCTACTTTTCTACTAGGCTACTGTATGTAGTATGCGGCAGTGGCTCAGTGGTTCATGTGGGTTGTCTACAAACCGGAAGGTTGGTGGTTCAATCCCCGGTTCCACCTGACCAAGTGTCGAGGTGTCCATGAGCAAGACACCTAACCCCAGCTGCTCCCGACGAGCTGGATGACACCGCCGTCGGTGTATGTATGAATAGGTGAATGTGAGGCAATATGTAAAGCCATTTATGCAAAAAGCATGATGCCAAAAGAGTACATGTCCGAATACATATTCAAAATTAATTTGGCAATATACCACTGAGATACCACTGAGATAGGCTACTAGAGTGTGCATTTGATTGACACTTTACCATGATGCCATGGGAGAGAAGTGGCAAATGCCAGTAAAGGGACACCACTGGACAGGTCACATGACAAAGCCAACATGGCAGATGAACTTTTTAACATTTTTCAAATATAGTTCCTACTCAGACAGCAGGCTGATTTCAGACATCATCGCTTATAGATGACACAGAGCACACGTATTTTCTCAATTAGGCTTAATTCTTACCACTTAAACACATTGTGCCTATTGATATTTAGAGAAATGTGGCTGTGGTAGCAAATAAGGGATAATTCTGTAGTCTTTGTGTTCTTTTTTCTTCTATTAAATTGGTTAGGTTGACTTGTATGTGCTAGATGAAAGTTAGTATCATTGGTTTGGCTTATGTTTGTTGTAATCAGTAGCAGTAGGCCTATTTGATGAAATGCTTGTCTGAGATATTATATTGGTATCTTTTTGATGGGTAACTGTGTTTTATCTCAGTTTTAGCTGAGATCAGGCCAGCTGGGACAGCTAAAACCCTGTAATCAAGCTGTTCATACGGTTTCAGGCAGCCTTGAGAACAGGTCAGAGCTAATCATTGAGAAGTGTGTGTGAATGCAGCACCTGGTCAGGTTACTGCATATTTGCCGTCACATACACGAGCACACACAGATGCTAATGTGTGCTCACATCACATTTGTATAATCATGCAAAGTTAAGATAAAAAAAACAAAAGCTTAATCACAAGTTTCAAGCACAACTTAAATGAAAAAACTTGAATGTCACCAGTTTTTATACATGTATAATATTCTACAAATGCCATGTCACTTTTACTTATAAATACAATTCACTGCAGTTTCCAGCTAAAATGAACACTAGTGCAGATGTGGACAGTAAAGGAGTACATTTACTTGAGTTTAAGGTATTCATATGCTAGCATGTCGGATGGAGCATTACTGACTGGCTTAAGCCACCTTGATGGCACAACAATGCAACACTAATAAAACAATGTGTTGTGTTGACATAAAAAAGGAAATTTACTTTTGATACTTAAGTACTTATAAAAGCAAGTACTCCTGTACTTTTACAGTAAGATTGTAAAAATCCGTTTTTACAGCTTTAACTTGTAAAGGCGTAATATTTTACCAGTACTTTCACTCAAGTAATGGAGTTGTGTACGTTGTCCACCTCTGCACTAGTGGCAGTAAAATACCAAAAATTGTATTCCTTTTCACACAAATTATGATTAGCCTAACACTTATTTTTCTTGTTGTTCCTTGGACACTAGTATATTATAAACTTAAAACACAAAGTGAATGATTTGTTAACACGCATTTTGACGTTTGCATCACCATATGTTTGGCTTTTCTGACGTAGTAAACTTGTTTGGTAGTCATGATCAAAGACTAAGCAAGCTAAAGTGGCATGTTTGCTTCAACAAATGAGTTATTATTTTACGTTTATTTTTGTTAACACTATCGGTAAGGTTTTGTGTAGGTGGTGTGGTATGTTATTTTCAAATGTGAACCGGACATTTAATTTCATAACTGCCATGATAAATACAACAACCAGCGTACTAAAATGTTGCCACATTCACGTTAATAAGTAGCACGTGCAAGAAACAAAATATAATTTTGCAGAAATGTGGGCACAAGGATGTTTTTCCAGTGAGCCTGCTTGTGTATTTATGTTGAAGAAAATTAAGTTAAAACTCTGAAAACTCTGAAAATTATTGTGACAAGACCTGTTCCCTCACAGAGCTCATTCATTGGAGAGCGAATTCTCCCTTGAACACCTCGTCCAGGGGTGCGTTTCCCAAAACCATAGTTGCTAACCTGTTAGCAACTTAGTTGGTTGGCAATGGGAAATTGCATTGCAACCAACAAAGTTACTAACTTAGTTAGCAACTATGGTTTTGGGAAACGCACCCCAGAACAGTGTCTTGTTCATATTGGCTGTGAGTTTGTGGTTTCTGCTACACCTACATTGAGGGAATAAATACCTCCCCTGTTCTCAAGAGAAACCAGACAAAAGAGGGTTTAGGAGGATTATTCAAAGGCTAGGATCAAACTGGCTTTCAGTGGTGAGCTACTATAGCTGGATTTCTTTCCAAACGTGAAACAAATCTTTTCAAAGTTCGAAAAACAAATGTGAATTAGGTGCGTTTCCATTCAGTGGATGATGGTGGTATTGGTTACCTAGTAACCAAAAGTAAATAAAACACCATCAGCAGAAACAGCCGATTAGTCACATGGGTTTAATGTTCGCTACGTCAGAATTTATTCAGCAAATGTGTTTCCATCTTCCATTATTCACATTAACTCTTTTTCGCACATGTCAAAAACCATCTCAAGCGAGCATAAATTTTTTTGCGAATTAATGTGTTTTTTTTTCTTAAATTTGTCATTTGCATCACTTGTTTCTGATGTTCTCAGAACTTTTCATCACTTGTTTCTGATGTTCTCAGAACTTTTCTTAACGTTCTGGTAAAGTTCTTCTAGTAACATTAATAAATGTTTGTTCAAAATTATCTGGGGTCTCATTTATAAAACTGTGCTTAGGATCCTTACTAAAAGTGTACGTGCGTCCGAAAGCCAAAAATGGCGTACGCAAACAAATATTCTGACTTATAAAACCGTGCGTACGCCAGAACCTGCGCAGAATTCACTTTATAAATCCCAGTCAGCGGAAGATTGTGCGCACATGCGTCTCCTCCCCGAAACAACCATATATGGAGCTTACAACACCTAGTTTTACTATGCATATCCTCATTTGCATATCATTTGCATATGATTATTCATCCACGTGATAACATGTTTAACGGTACAAGACATTTGGAAAAAATGAAATACGGATGTGCCGTCACATTAGTTAAATTAAAAAAAAAAAAATTAGTAGCCTATATCCTTGCCTTGTTTTTGAATAAATCAATCAAATAGTGTAAAATACATTTCAGAGAAAGTTTGTCTCAATCTTTTCCACTGGCCAAAGAGTATTTTTAATTG